TTTTTTTTTAGCTAGCCTGATTTTCCAGTGTTCAGCTTTTAGTGGGGCTGATTTTTCAGCCTTTACCTAGCACATGACTCTGAAATTTCAGCAATTTTTTCCAAAAGACACTGATGCCACTACGTTGTAACGAATCCGACCCTGAAAGCGATTCCTACACGGGCCGAGTGTAGTTGCCCGGCTGTACTAGGAATATCAGATTCCCGCGGTGTCAGCAGGGCGTGGTGGTGAGTAGAAGACAAATTTGCCCTCGACCAGGGATGCATTGTTGGCGCGCGTGCTGCGATGATTGGCCACTTTGACAGCATTTCCTGATATGGCCAATCACGGGGTTGCAGAGCAACGAGAGATTCAGGCCCATGTGATGCACATGTGGACCTGTGGCCCTGTGGCCCGGATTGTCGAAGACGTACTGGCAAGAACGGATGCATCCACGCCGCCCTGCTGTGCTACCAGCCATCCAATCTCCCACCCCAGCCTGCTCCTGGCTTTCCTTCCATCTAGCAAGGGTACGGTTTCAACGTGTTGCTGCCTGGTGGTGTACCAAGAGGCAGTCAGCCGTGTTTTCTCTCTTCCTGGCAAACCTCCGTTAGGCTAGCTTGGTAGTGCCGTTAGATGCTGCTCGTTTGCGCTGCAGCCAATGGCGGACCACCCGGACGCCATTGAACGACCTGATGACCACGACGATGAACCCGCTCGTCGTTCGCCAATCGATCTGTCCGCGGCAGTTACCGGACTCGATCTGCTATTCTCCAGCTTAGCGGCAGTAGATAACCATGGAAAGGATCCTGCAGTCGCGCCGACCGTCAACATCCCGTTTGAACCAATCGACGAGCCGCTGTGTCCCTCCCCAACTGCGCCCGTGTTGGAGCAAGACAGCTGCAACCCTGCAGGTGAAGAATCTGCGGCGGTACCTGTGGCTAAGAAGTCCGCCAAGTACATGCAGTCAACGATTCCGTGGGGCAAGAAGGGAGGCACCGTTGGAGCAGCACCGGCTTCGCCAGCCGACCAACGGTCGACGCCCGCGACCGCAGGCACGCAGGCGTCGCCCTCAACACCTGGGCCTTCTAAACCTGGGCCTTCCAAACCAGTAGGGCCAGACGCAACTTACGCCGAGGCTCTGTACAAGTACAAGAGCGAGTGGCAAGAACGATTTCCTTGGGTCATACTGCTAAAAAAGGCTGACGGTTTCCCTGCTTTCAAGTGCAGGATCTGTACGGAGCATGCAGGCTACGCTGGACCGTGCGGGAGAGGCGGAAAGGGCGCCACAGACGTTCAGACGCAGTCGTTCAAACGGCATGCGGCAACTACGAAGCACAAGGAGGCGTTGAAACACCAGAAGAAGCTACTCGACGAAGCATCCACGCAGCCACGGATCAACAGCGACAATCTCGCTCGCGACACGGAGAAGGAGCGTGTCAGCAGGCTCCTCGACTCGCTGCTCTTCGTGACCAAGCAAGATGCACCCATAGAGTTATGGGTGCATCTCGTGCGCTACCTCGCGCGACTGAAGGTGCCTGGGTTCCCCGCTAAGGGCTACGGTACCTATTACACGACGTGAGTTACCGTTTTCTCGGGTTGCAACCGTGTATATGTAGATTAATAGCCGGTCTAACATTGTGTTGTTTGACCTGCGCTGCAGATACGGCTTTGGGCAGCTAACTCAGTCGATGGCTACGTGGTTGCACACAACGCAACTGCAGCACATCCTTAGCAGCCCATACCTAGGCATCACATGTGACGAAAGCACGGACAGGTGCTCTGGAAAGCACATGATTGTTTTCGCGTCTTTCATCCGTGACTGTCGTCCCGTGACTGAGTTTCTTGCCCTGCTGACCGTGGAGAAGGGCGATGCAGCCTCTCTCCTGTCAGTGCTCTTATCCCACCTGCAGGCCGTGGGCATTGAATTGGCGAGGATATCCGGCATAAGCACTGATGGTGCGAGTGTCATGATGGGGAAACACAACGGCCTGGTCGCACGACTTCGCCTGCGCATCCCGCACCTCGTCTCGAGCCACTGCATCGCCCACAGGTGGGTTCTTATGTTGTGTTTCCTGCACCCCTTAATGAATCCGCAGCCACCCATGGTAATCACTAGTTGACCTGGTTTGCTTGTTGTTGTGCATGCAGGGAGGCGCTCGCCGCAAAGGCCGCCGCTGAAGAACTCCCCGAGTTCGGGATAGTGGACGCCCTGCTCCGCCAAGTGGCAGAGTACTTGGGGCGTTCGGGCCCGTGGCATCAACGGTTCATGGGCTTGCAGGAGGTCTTCACGAAAACGAACCTGGAGCTGCAGGGGATCCACGACGTCCGCTGGCTCTCCCGCGGTGACGCCATTCTGCGCGCGGTAGAGGTGTTCCCCGCGCTGATCGTGATGCTGTACGAGTGGGACAGCACCCTGTACAAGCTCGTCACGAGCTACAGGTTTCACTTCCTGCTATATTTCCTTGCAGACGTACTCGAGCAGCTCAATGTGCTGAACAAGGCATTCCAGCAGCGTGAGGTGAGCATGGTTTCGTACAAACCTTGAATATGTGCCCTGTTGCTGGTTTTGCTCCAATGTTTGGTGTTACTACCACAGCTCTGAGTTGGTCTGCCTTCCACACTTTTTCATCCATGTTGAACCCCCAACAGCTGGACATTGCTGGTGTTCACGGGCAGATCCGCCGGTCCATCTCCTTCCTTGAGTCCCGCTACGTCGACTGCGGTGACGACTTTGGAGGCGGTGTGAGCGCGCGACTCTCGCCATTCATCAAGAAGCACGGACCTGAGGGGGGCAAACCCGAGGTGAAGGTGCAGGGAGTCGACTCGGACGGGCGGCCCACTACACATACCTTCGAGCTGCACGAGGAACCGGACGACGACTACCCGACTCTCGGCTCCCACGACGCCTGCGTCGATCTCTGCACCACCTTCTCCGAGGCGCTCGTAAAAAACCTCACCACACGGTTCAAGGACCTGGACTCTCTGGTGGGAGTGCGGCTGTTCATGCCCGACGAGTGGGAGCTGGGGAGAGCGGAGCGCCACAGGCAGTGTCTTGAGTGGCTCGAGTCTCTCGTGAGGTTGTTCAGGGCACAGGACACGGACTACATCATTCCAGGTATTCCCGCTCTCGCTTTGTGCCTGACCGTATGTTACAACTGTGCGTTTTAGACGTATACCAGCCTGTCTAACTCCCCTCTTTTTCCCTTCTGCCTGATGTGGCAGGGGTCGACAAGCGGCGTGCGATCAAGGAGCTGCGTGCCTTCTGCCCCATCCTCGCTGGTGCCCCAAAGAACGAGCGCAGCTTCCTCGCCGGCCTCACAGCAGTGCTGAAGACAAGCGACTGGGCGGCAAGCTACCCCAATCTGGTGCGTCTCTGGGTGGCTGTCGCCGTGCTGCCGCTCAGCACTGTGGAGTGTGAGCGCGGCTTCTCACGCCAGAACGTGATCAAATCGTGGCAGCGGGGGAGCTTGAACGACGCCCGCCTCGAAGACCTCATCACGATGTCCCTGCTGGAGTATGAGCCCAACTACAATGAGGTGGTGCAGATCTGGCGCAGCTACAAGAAGCGCCGCCCATTCGGCAATGTGGTGGCACCACCAGCAAGAGAGGGGGAGGGGAGCGGTAGCAAGGGAAAGGAGGTCCTAGAGGAGGAGGAGATGGACGAACTAGAAAGAGACGATGCAGACGAGCAAGCTTCTTTTGATGATGACTTTTGATTAGAATGCTCCCAGACTCCATGCTTAGCTTGCTTGCTAGCAAGATAGGATTTGGTTTGAATTGAAGGCTGTTTGCATGCTTCGTATTGTTTTTAACTTAAAATAAAGATTACTACTGCTATCACCCATTTTCTGTGGGGGACACTGATAGATCAGACTTTTTTATTAAGTAACACTGAACTTTCAGGCTTTTTTCCAAGACGACCCTGACGATCAGGGTCTAGGGGCAGAGGAACCCTGATACCCTTACGTGCCTCAAAGTGAATCTGAGGCCCTGCTGCCGTGGCAATAGAGGTGTCCATGGGTGGTGCGCACTTGATTCTGTAATGGAGTTTGTGGTGTGGGTGAGCGGCAGAATTGAGGATGGGAAGGCATGAGTGGAAGAGAGGGAAGTTTGGGATGGTGCGTGGGTGGCATCACATACAAACAGTACAAAGGAAGCAGCCAATGGGATGTGAGGAGGTGCAGAGGGCTTGGTGGCACCTTCCAGTCCAGTGGAGCTTTAACTTGGGCATGATATTGGGGGTTGATGAAGAGATCTGTTACCAGTATGAAGAGCAAATACTGCCGCTGCTGCTGCTGGTTGCGTGCTGGTGCTGCATGCTGTGGAAGCCTTCGATTGAGCATGAAATCGCACGATTGGCACAAAATGTGTATGCATAGGCATACGGTAATCACTGGCAGAAGGGGGATGGGAGGTAAGATATTGTATGACTACCCTCCCTGATCAAACACTGTATTGTTTTCAGGATTTTAGTTAACTGTAAGTGTATTAATTCATAAATATTATTCATCCCTTTCCCAATTTGTTTTTCCGAATGGCATGTTCACACCAATGAATATATTATTGCTGTAAGAGTAGTAGCCCTCCAGAGACTCCCATTGTACTTCAAACGGGTATGCGCGATTTGCCCTCGAGAACCAGCAGCAAGCGTAGGTCTTTCGAGTTTCTGGAGGTGTGTGAAGCATAGCAACTCGGCAGACTTGAGAGTCCAGCGACGCGATGAACGCGATTCACGGATTCATGTCGACGAGTGGTATTGCTTGTAACGGCGCGACCACGGGTTGCATGATGCGTGAGGTGCTTGTCAATTTCTTGAAACGATTTCTAGAAGCTTCAAAACTGGTCAGAAAATCGTTTGTCCAATGAGACCGTTGCAGCTGCCACTTGTCCGCGTCCTGAAGCCAGGGAACTCGATCGCCAGCTGTCGGAGCCAAAACAACAGCATGGTTATCGCCGTTCATCGATCCGAAATTCCCAGAGGCATCCCGCGCAGCACCCCTCGGAACCCCGGTCCTCGCTTACTGTCCATTCCTTCCACCGCTGCTTAGCATCCTCCTGCCTCGCCGTGTCGCGCTGCTACGGGCTAAATCAATCCGCCGCGGCGGCCGCCATGGCGACGACGGGCGAGCCTCGCCGTGGCCGAACCTGACAGGCGAGGGTATTGCTTGTAGAACCCCCTTGCCGCGGCCCAGCTTCAGCCGCTGCAGACGTGGGCAGTCAAAGGAGTGCGTCCAGTAGTCCTCCTCCACCTCATCCCTATCGCCCTGCTCCACTGTGTCAAACTGATGCGCGGAGTCCACACAGCCGCGCAGCTTGAGGCTGAGCGAGGTGAGGGAGGAGAACTGCCACTGGTCCTGCGAGCAGAGCGTGTGCAGCTGCATGATGTGCGTGTAGGTGAGGGCGAGGGACTTGAGGCCGCGCCAGGAGCAGGAGCTTGTAGGTGAGGGCGACGGACCCGCAGGCGCATCGCAAGTGGCCCTTCTCCTCCGTCACCTCACCACTCGGCCTGCGAGCAGAGCGTGTGCAGCTGCATGATGTGCGTGTAGGTGAGGGCGAGGGACCTGAGGCCGCGCCAGCGCAGGAAGAAGGCAACGCTTCTCTCCCACTGCGGGTGTAGGTCGTTGTAGACCAAGGAGATGGGGTGATGGGCCTGCGGAGAGGAGAGGGATGCGGGAATGGAACACCAAAAGGCTCTTCAATCCTGATTTGAAGTGCGATTGAAAGGAGGCGACGCTCCTCTCCCAGTGTGGCTGCAGGTTGTTGTATACCAAGGAGATGGGGTGCTGGGCCTGCGGAGCGGAGAGGGATGGGAGAAGGAGTGCGGCGCCGGAAAGTTGTTAACAATCCAGACCTGAAGTGCGATGCACAGGAGGCGACGCTCCTCTCCCGTTGCGGGTGCAGATCGTTGTAGACCAAGCATATGGGGTGCTGGGCCTGCAGAGACGGATGGGTGCGAATGGAGGAGGGAATATGAAAGTGGGAGAGGAGCATGATGTGTGTGTAGGTGAGCGCGAGGGACCTGCGGGTGCAGATGGTTGTAGACCAAGGAGGATACGGTGTGCTGAGCCTGCAGGGAGGAACAAGTGATGACGGAGAGAGAGTGTGAAGCATGTCCTAGAGAGGAGAGAGGCTGACGCTTCTCTGCAGTAGTGGGCGCAGATGGTTGAAGCAGTGTTTTAAGACCAGCGCGATGAGGTGCTGGGCCTGCAGAGAGGAACAAGCGACGGAATGGGATGGGAATTCTGGTGCTTGATTGGTTGTTGCTCTTTTGAACTGTCTGGACCCGTTCTAGCAGATGCACATCCAACCCATGTTGGATTTCACATGGCATGCGTTTCAGAACCTATGACCCATGTCGGCAGTTAGCGCGCTCAAATCCCGAGTGCAACAGGTAAGAAGCTAAGACAAGGCACACTGAACGGTATTGGGCTGAAAAGGGCAGGACATGTGATGGTTGCGGCAATCAATTCCCGAGTGCGACGGGTCTGTTGAGGAAAAGAGGTGAGCACTCACAGCCGAGGCATTCCAAACATCAAGTCAAGCACAGACAGAGCAGCACTCACGGAGAAGGAGAGGACGAGCGTGAGGAGCCTCTTGCTGGCCATGGCGCAGCACAGCAGTGCCCACCCGCTGCCGTAACTCTTCGCATTCTTCCGGTGCTGCCCGACTGCCGTGAAGTCAGGGTCCACAAATTTCACGGGCAGGTTTCTGCCCGCTGGGGGCTGTGTTGTGGCGGTGAGATACCAGGGCGTCTTTCGTCTGCTGTGGACGAGGGGGTTCTCGGGGTGCGAGGAGCCGGGCGGCAGCAGCAGGCAGCGGAACACTCGGTGCCAGAGAGACGCCGGTAGCATGTCCATGGGATCACGGGGGGTGGCGGCTGGTAGGAGAGATGGGTGAGATGAGTGGGAAGGGAGATTATGCAGGGAGTGAAGTGAAGGGGGAAAGTGAGTAACCGGCAGCGTGTCTATGGGATCACAGCCCACTGTTGGAGCTGGCGGATGGGATGGGTGCGATGGGAGAGATGGGTGGGATGGGAGAGATGGGTGCGATGGGAGAGATGGGTGGGATGGGAGAGATGGGTGGGATGGGTGAGATGGGTGGGATGGGTGAGATGGGTGGGATGGGTGAGATGGGTGAGATGGGTGGGATGGGTGGGATGGGTGGGATGGGTGCGATGGGTGGGATGGGTGGGATGGGTGAGATGGGTGGGATGGGTGGGATGCTGCATGTCCACCTGAGGGTGGGAGCACACGCGAAGGGCCTAAATTAAGTTGTTTTGAACGACATCTTTGAGTGATCTGCTCTGCCATTTCCATGCAAGCACTTCTCGACGCACCCAACAATTCCCACCCAGGCCCAAAAGGCCCGATCGTGCAAATCATGAGGGTGACGCAGTGGAATTCAACGACCTAATGTTTTGAGTCTCTTTCGCAAAATGAGCGACAGAGAAAACGATGAAAATTTGGTGCTGGTGTGAAATTGTTAGGAATTGAGAGGGGATCTGTAGAAGGGACGAAAATTGAAATCATGAATACTGCATGAGCTACTAGGTTCGCACTGAACGCGTATCTCCGCGACGAGGAGGAAAGGCGGGAGCGAAATCAACGAATGACGGACAGTTTAGAATGAGGTGGATGGGAGAGGACCTAATACTCACACGGAATCCCAGCGAGAGTCATCTAAGCAGGAAGGTGCTTCTCGCTCCGAGCGTGAAGGCAATGGCGCGAAAAGCGGGATGCCGAGACGCGAAGCAATAGAAGTGCTTGCCTTTTGAGTCAGCATTGCTCTTCCGTCTCTTCGTCTCCCGTCGCTCGCGCTCTCTCAGCTCGGCCGTGCCATCGCCAGTAGTACCCTCCAGCGATGCCGCCATGGCGATCGAACAATCATGAGCACCCGATCCACATGGTGAGTAGTGAAATAATTTTCGTGTCGTGCATATGCACTCGTCATTAGACTAGGGCGTACTTTCCTCGACTCTAGCTGCCGACCCCGTGTAGCACTGGCCCGTTGTCCTACACGTAGAAAAAACTACATCAGAACTCGCCTCACCAACTCTTCGTCCTTCGGCTTGAGTCGAGTTGAGAGATCACACCATTTTGTTCAGAGTTCGTTTGACGCAGTTTGATATGGTCAGCTACGTTTGGGGGCGGTTCCTAGATTTCACCGCTCTAGACCACTGCGCACCAGAGTGAACCTTTCAAAGTCAGATGCAAGCGGATGACCTCAGATTCACGCCCCACTGCATCGAGCCCAGCTGATAATCCCGTGATACGCGAAACGGTACAGTGCTGTGTTACGTATTCCGCGAAACTTCGAAGCTATCCATTCCCTTGACAACGTGAAGCCGCGTTTTACGATTTCAGCGACGGAGGGATTGGTTTTGCCGTGAATCGAGACACCTTAACACGGGTATACGAGGTTTCCCTCACAGACCTGGCAGTGTGTGGTGTGTGTGGAGGTTACCTAGACCTTACGAGTTGAGCAATGCGTGCTAAGTTTAGAATCTCGACGACAGCGACGAGATGGACTCTACTGCATCTGCAGATGGCTACGGTATCTGCAGTTCAATTCACTAGGACGCGAGCCAACAAGGTGGACAGGAGATCATGTCGACGCGTAGTAGCTGCTAGCGGCGGAACCACCAGTTGCATGACCGAAGCGTGTGACATTTTTCAAAGCCACTTAGAAGCAATTTCTGAGGAGCCTCAAAACTTCTAAAAATTCGTCTGTCCAATGAGACCGTTGCAGCTGCCACTAGTCAGCCATTAGAAGCCTGGGAATCCAGTGCCAGCTGTCGGAGCCAAAGCACCAGCATGCTAATCGCCGGCCATTATTCCAGAATATTCAGAGGCATCCCGCGGAGCACCCCGCGCAACCCCGGTCCTCGTGTCTTGGTGTCCATCCCTTCCGCCGTTGCTCAGCATCCTCGTGCCGCGCCATCATGTCGCGCTGCTACTGGCTCAATAGACTGTCGCCCATCGCAGCGTCCGTCGCCGCCGGCAAACATCATCAATAGACTGTCGCCTTTGCCAGCTACTTCAACTTTTGAGTCGACTCAAAAGCCTTTGCCAGCTACTTTAAAACTGCGCTCTCCGCCGATCTTTCGCCATGAAGGATTTCGGCGATCCACACACACGCTGTTCGCGTCGAAGCGCGAGAGCTTGTGGCGGAGCCGCAACATGGCTGGAGAGGCGGTGGACGCCGTTCAAGAGCTGAAACTGGCCGCCGTGCTGGACGCTCGAGACGAGCAGCGCCGGTGGGAGGAGGAAGAGGAGGAAGAGGAGGAGGAAATGGGGGAACTGGAAGAGAGCGAGGAGGAAGAGAAGGTCGGTTTGACCAGCGCTGATACCTCACCCGAGGCAGGGAGCGCGGGCGCGGGCGCGGGCGCGGGGAAGCGGTGGGTGTGCGGGCCGCGCGTGGAGGCGGTGATGCGCAGCAAGGTGGCGCGGCTGGTGAAGCCGGACATGCTGCTGGCCCTGCAGGAGCTGCAGCGCCAACAGCAATGGCGCCTGGCCGCGCGGGTGAGAAAGAGAGTGAGAGAGGTGACGGTGAGGGGGTCAAAGATTTTTCGGAACAGTAGGAACGGATGGGTGGGTAGTACCTGGAAGCGTGGGGAGTATGGCGGAGTGTGGTAGAGCGACGAAGGAAGGAGAGAAAAGAGGGAGACGGAGAGCATCCAATCGAACAGAGAAGAACGAGCAGTTGCTAATAGAGTTTGCCACAAAAGGACTATGAGTCTTCTCCCTGTCATGATCACTGGTGTTGGAAACGTGAAGGGTTTGGGAGGGTTTTGGTGTATGTGGGGAGGGTTTTGGTGTGTGTGGGGAGGGTTTTGGTGTATGTGGGGAAGAAGATCTCTTTGAGGGTTTACTTCCTACCACGATGTCAACTTGATTTCCTGCGAGTGTTAGCACACGATTGCAGCACGATTCCCACAGCAGCACGATTCCCACAGCAGCACTCTCATGTTTAGTCCAATGTCATTCCCCTCACTATGTTCTCTCCCTCCCCTCACTATGTTCTCTCCCTCCCCTCACTATGTTCTCTCCCTCCCCTCACTATGTTCTCTCCCTCCCCTCACTATGTTCTCTCCCTCCCCTCACTATGTTCTCTCCCTCCCCCCCACAGTGCCTTCTTTTCTGTCTTCCACCTCCCCCACTTTCCCACCCCTCCCTGTGTCCGAGGGTCGGTTCCCATGTCACATTTATACGTTGCATCAATCATTGTACCCATGGTCAATGCTCATATCAATCTTAACACCCCTGTCATGCCTCCTTATGCCATCGTTCTTCCCGATGCACACTTGTCTACGATACCACCCTCCCTGCCTTCCCTTCCCTCCATATGTCCCTTTCTCCAGCGCAAGCTTTTACGTAGTGAGTTCTCGTTGTGGGTCCATATTACATCTTCTCTCTCCATGTGCTCGTTTCTCCATGTGCTCGTTTCTCCTGTGTTTCGTTCTTCGCTGGCCTTTTCTACAGCTGTTAAGCCCATAAACCCCTCTTCCACTCCTCCAACCCTCCCTCCCTCACGTCCCTCCGCCAAAGCCTCCCCCACACAGCTCCTACTTACGACTCCCTCCATTCAGGGTAAACATCTCCCTCCGCCTGCATCTCTCCCTCCCACCCCCCATGCCACCTGCATTTCTCTCAGGTGTTTGAGCACGTGCGCACGGAGCACTGGTACAAGCCCGACGCGGACCTCTGTGCGCGCATGATCAACTGCCTGGGGCTGGCCGGCCGCATCACCGACGCACAGGCGCTCTTCCGGGCCACACAGGACGAGGACGGCATGCCCCCCTGCTCGCCCACCTACACTGCCCTGCTCGCCGCTCACTGCCGCTCCGGGGACCACAGGAGCGGCCGGGAGGTGCTGCGAAGGATGAGGGAAGCACGGGCGGGGCCGTATGATGCGGCGTACATGATTCTGATCAAGACGTGTGAGGCGCAGGGGGATGCGGGGGCAGCAGCGGAGTTGAAGCAGGAGCGGGATGTGGTACTGGCAGAGTGGGGGCAGTTGGGGCTGCCTAAACCCCCACGGCGGTCAAAGAAGATGTAGGCCGATTGTGCAATGATTCGTTTGCTCTCCTCTCGTGCAATGAGTCGACTCTAAAATCGGCTCATCACTCGTAGTTGGGTTGGGGCTGCCTAAACCCCCAAGGCGGTCAAAGAAGTACCGGTAGGCCGATTGTGACAAGACTCTGAAAGGAGCCTGCAATGCAATGATTCGGGGTTTGCTCTCCTCTCCTCTCGTCTCGTGCAATGATGTTTGTGTTTGCTTGGTGGTGGTGGCCAGTTGTGGAAGGTGGTGTTGTAAGCAGTTCTGGCTGGAGCATGTCACCTTTACGTTACGCACATTCAGAGCTCTGGTTTGACACTGGAGTAGCTGCAATACCCTATCGGCTAACCTATGGTTGTGAAGTGATGAGTTGGATGCCTGCTGAAAGGGTGAGCAGCTATGACCTGCTGAAAGGGTGAGCAGCAGCTATGACCTGCTTGTGGTGTGGTGGTCCATGTGTAAAATGGTTTGGCTCAAGCCTTTTTCAGTACACATTTGGCTTCCGCACTTCTACGTGTTCTTCCTGTATCATAGAAATTGCAGCCTTCAAGCATTTGCTGTCGGACGGAACAAACAAACAAGGTGAAATTGTCAAAATGAGGAATGATGATGCCATTGATGTTGGTTGGGGTACATATAACAAACCCTAACTTCTGTACCCCCTAAGACAAACCTCACTACAGGCTACAACATTTGACACACCCCCATAGCCTAAGTGAGGGGTGTCTAGCAAAATAAAAAAAAGAGTACGGTCACAAGACCAGTCCAAAAGAAAACAAAGCTCAGGGTGGATCACAACGTCACCACACTCTCTGAGCACAAGCAACAGTGGCCACAAGGCCAGTCCAAGAGATCACAAGTATATATAGCAAGAGTACAGACGAAGCAGGCAATAAACTCAATCCTACACATGACTAGAACCTGTGTCAACAAGGCCTAACTGCACACAACACCTCTGGTGGTCACGAGGCGGAAGCGCCTTGGTGAAGATGTCTGCAGTGTTGGCCTCGGACTCCACAAACTCGAAGCGAGCCTGTCCACGTCTCTGCAACTCTCGCAGAAGAAAGTACCTGACGTGAATGTGCTTCACTCTGCTCTCCAGTCGCGGCTCACGACAGAGGAGGATCGACGCCTTGTTGTCAGTAAACAAGGTCGGTGCAGAGCTCGGCCGCTCACCAAGGTCGGCGAGCAAGAAGGTCAACCAACGCAACTCCTGTGCCGCCATGGCACCAGCGTAAATCTCAGCCTCAGCTGTAGAGGTCGAGACAGAAGAGGAGCGCGTGGAACGCCAGGAAACAGCTCCAGAACCCAGACTGAAACAGTACCCCTGAGTAGACCTGTGAGTCTCAGCGTCGTCAGCGTAAGAGGAGTCACAGTGACCAGTGAGTACGACAGACTGCTGCCCTCCAAGAACTAGCCCCACGCCTGATGTAGTCGCTAGGTACTTCGCCACCCTCACAGCTGCCGTCCAGTGAACAGGACGGTGTCTCCCTGGCGCAACAAAGCGCGCAAGGATGCTGAGAGGGAAGGCGAGGTCCGGGCGAGTACAAGTCATCAGGTACATGAGGCAACCCACAAGCTCTGCGTAGGGACCACTAGGCTCAAACGGCTCGTCAGGAAAGGGACCAGTGAGTCTGTGGTCAACAGCGAGAGGTGTGCGCTGTACGGTGGAGTGCTGAAGCCCGAACCGCTGAAGGACCTGCTGCACCATGTGTGACTGTGAGAGTGTAATGGTGCGAGCGGCTCTGTCCCTGGTGATCTGCAGGCCAAGGTAGTGGCGCAGCTCACCAAGATCAGTGCACGTGTGTCTCTTCTGCAGTTCGGACTTCACGTCTGCCAAAGCAACCCTGTCCGGAGTGGCGAAAACGAGGTCGTCGACGTAAACCAGAACAAAGAACGGTGTGGAGCCACGACGAACGAACAGCGACGGGTCGGCAGAAGACGGCTGGAACCCAAGGTCAGAGAGGGTAGAACACAGAGTGTCGTGCCACTCACGAGGAGCCTGGCGAAGACCGTAAACAGGTCGCCTCAGCCTCCACTGGGTCCCAGGAGGGAAGGTGCCAGTGAAGGCCGAGGGACGACGCAACCAGACCTCCTCGTGTAGGCTGCCCTGAAGGAAAGCAGTGGAGAAGTCGAGAGAGTGTAACTCGTAGTCTCTCTGTGCTGCTACGTGTAGTAACACCCGAAGAGTGGTCATCTTCGGGGTAGGTGCGAAGGTCTGAAAGAAGTCAACTCCCTCGCGCTGACTGAAACCTCTAGCCACGTAGCGCGCCTTGAAGACCGGGGGAGATCCCGGTGGCCGCTTCACCCTGTAGATCCACATGCCGTCGACTACGTTCGCCCCAGGGGGGGGAACCTCATCGACGTAGGTGCCTGTGGATCTGTAGGAGGCCATCTCTGCGTCCATGGCAGCTCTCCACTGAGAGGCCCAAGGCCCTGACACTGCCTCAGCGTAAGTGCGAGGAGTCGGAATGTCAAGGGCGTCGGGGTCACCCTCAGGGGCGAGGAGCATGGCACAGAGATGAGGGGAAGCGGCCGCCAGGAACTCTAGCTCAAACTGCCTGTCCTCTAGGGCGTCACAGCCAAGGGCAGACACACCCCCGACGGCCAGAGGACTGGTAGGAGGAGCAGCCACAAGCGTGGTGGCGTAGTCAAGGCGGCGGGTAGAGGCAAAGTCAGTAACTGCGGCAGTAAGAGCGGACACAGAGGACACAGAGGCACGAGGGTGAGTAACAAGAGAGGCGAGAACATGAGAGTGAACAGGACGGTACGTGCGGTAGTAGTCAGTGACAGGAGTAGGGAGCGACACAGTGAGGGCCGACTCAGGAGGAGACGGAAGCACAGACTGAGACGGACGAGGTGGACTAGAAAGAAGGAAGGTAGTACGAAGGTCAGTGAAGGGAACAGGAGACGAGGGACGAGCACGAGGGGAGCGACGAGTAGCCCAAGAACGAGACGGAGGAGGAGAGGACAAAGGCGGAGAACTGGGGAAAACAACGGGGGAGGAGTCAGGAGGAGGAAACGTGGGACCGTAGACAGGAGGAGAGGCGGAGGAGGGAGGAGAAGGGGAGGGGAGACCAAGGGTCCGAAGACCCGAGACAGGAGGAGGAAGTGGCTGCTGCTGCTGCTGCTGCTGCGACTGCTGCTGCTGCGGAAGCGGCTGCTGCTGGGACTGCTGCTCCTGCGGGTCCAGCTGCTGCTGCTGCTGCTGCTGCTCCTGCGGCTCCAGCTGCTGCTGCTGCTCCTCCAACCGCTGTAACTCCCTCTCCTCTCTCTCCAACGCCAGCTGCTCGTCACGGGCACGGCGAACACGAGCCTGGTGCCTAGTCGGGTAGGGGTGGGGGGGCGGAGTAGTGTCCGAAGCAGCGGTAGCTCCAGAGTCCACCCCCGAAGAACCAGGCGCACCACCCCCAGAGGCAGCACTAACACCAGCTCCAGACCCAGGCTCACCAGAACCCGAAGGAGGCGCACTCTCACCCCCAGTGTCCGCGCGACCAGCACCAGCTCCCGGACGACAAGAGTCCTCTGCACCCACCGGGTCAGCTCCAACTCCAGAACCAGAAACTCCATCTCCAACTCCAGCTCCAACTCCAGCTCCAACCCCAGCACCCCCAGAACCAGAAACTCCAGTGCCAACTCCAGCTCCAACTCCAGCTCCAACTCCACCACCCCCAGAACCAGAAACCGGTACAGGAACAGGCGCAGCACCAACCTCTCGAGAGCTAGCACCAGCGGCACGCTGCGAGGAGGACTGTGGGGAGGGAGGCTGTACCGGAGAGGCTACCGAAGGAGGAGGGGTAGCCTGGGACACACCCGACGGGGCTGGACCAGGGGGGGGAGGCTGTACCGGGGGAACAGGAGGGGGAGCGGCAGTCAGGAAGAGGGGGGGAGGAGGAACCTGGAGACCTCGACTGGGGTACCTGACGTAGTACGGAGTGGACTCCTCGAAACGGACGTCACGGGAGTCAAAGAACCGGTGAGAGGGAGGGTGGTAAAAGGTGAAGTCAGAGGAGTCCTCAGGGAAACCAAGGAAGACACAGGGGACGGCACGAGGCGAGAGCTTGTCCGCGGAGGTGTCGCGGACAAGAGCCAAGCACCCCCAGACACGAAACCGCGACGCAACACCAGGGGACCCTGTCCAAAGACTGGTCGGTGAAACCTCTGGTCGAGAGACACGTGGCCAGAGGTTCAGCTAGTGCGCGGCGTACCTGACCGCGTAGGGCCACAGAAAATGGGGGGCTCAGGCGTGAGTCAGGGAGGTGCGGGCGATCTCCATGACCAGGCCTATGCGGCGCTCAGCAACCCCATTCTGCTGTGGGGACTCTGGAAGCGTCCAGGACTGACGAATGCCCTGCTCGCGACAGAATCCAGCGAGAATGCCGGAGCGAAACTCACCCCCACGGTCGGAGTGGAGGCAGCTGACACGACGACCACGAGTGTCCTCGGTGGTGAGCAACCACCTGATTAGCGTAGAAGTCACCTCAGACTTCTTCGCCAGAGGGAACACTGTGGTGTAGCGGGAGAAGTCGTCAACGACCACTAGAAAGTAGCGCTCACGCTCAGGGCCTAGACGAGGGGCGGGGCCCCAGACGTCCAAGTGAAGCGTCTCAAAAGGCTCGGTGGCCGGACGAAGGGAGGAGGAGTGAGGGGCGGCGCGCAGCCGACCCTCGACGCAGGGACGACACGGCGGCGCAAGCAAAGGCGGCAGCGACGGCAAGACACGTGGGAGGCCTAGGACAAGACGCTGACTAGACATAGCGCGCAGACGAGGAAGGGAAGGGTGCCCCATCCGGTGGTGCCATAGAACGGTGGGGTGGGCAAGCGACCGGCAGGAGCACGACGCAGCGACTGGAGCAGACGTAGGAACCTGACACGACACAGACACCTGGGGGGACGAAGCAACCTGGTGAGACGCGGGGACCCGAACGGGGGGGGGAACCGGGGGCAGTGGCAGTAGGGGCGGCTGCTGGTGCGACCGCTGGTTCAGCTGCTGCTGCTGC